GGAAAAAGTGCTAAAAATGAATTTAAAAAAATTGATAATTGTTTATAATGAGATCTATATTTCTTAAAATTTAAATTAATAGCTATGTTGTGAGGGTATTGCAAGTGTTTGTGCTTCAATAGTTTGTAACGAAATATTGGTCCTGGACTTACATTTTGGTATACGGATCGTTATATCCCGGATATTTGTAAAGGTCATAGCTTTGAAACAATTGTCACGATATTCTTCATATCCGGTTCTGGCCAGTGAAGACACTTATTGTGTTTGGCTGTTGAAGTCAACCAACGCATTTCATATTTGTTTCTGGTCTCTCTAGAGGTCACAAAATTGTACATGGCAAGTCAAATTGACCCAGACTTTTGTTTGAAAAAATACAAAATTTACATTATATGCTCTTCACATTTATTCTAGAAGAGCAGATTCTAGAAGATGTGGAGCTTTACGTAAATATTTACAGGGGTCTATATATTGTAATAGTATTTTGTATTACCATTACCGCAGTAGATTATAGCTACACAATTTTGCATAAAGTTCCGGTTTTGTTGAAGTGCGACATCTATCGGTTTGAACGGATGATATTTACAGTATGAAATAATACAAAAAAAGATTTTTTTTTCTAAATGCACTTTTATATCCCAACATCAATAAATACGGAAAATCTAATCAACGAAAAAACATGGCTGCTTTGATAATGATCTGTCAGACATTCCTAGTACCCATTGGATGTTTGTTATTGTTATCAGTCTAGCCCCCATATAACGGTACCCCCAATATTCGGTATTTTGGGGATTTTGGACACATTTTCCAATCGAGCTGGCTGTAATTTATTATATAGTTAAAAAGTTATAAAAAGTTCGGCCGATCACATTTTGAAAAAATCTTGGAACAAATTAAAAATGCTAAAAAAAGTGCTAGGTGCTAGATCAATTTTGTTGGTGCTAAACGAGTTTAAAAAGTGCTAAATCTAGCACTAAAAGTGCTAAATTGGCAACACTGTTGTTAGGAGAATTAAAAAGTGTCTTCCACATTTGTACATATATTTGTCATATATATATTGTTTTAAAAAAATTGAAATTTGTCTCCCATATCTGTACATGATAGTCGCATTTAAAAAAATAATATAAACATTTATTTGTATAACAACATCGTACTATATTTGTCATATAATATAATAGAGAACATAAGATGATTGATCAGTTCCCCCATTATAATAGAAGGGTCTGTTAATCTATTCTAATGACAGTGAGAAACAATTTTGAAAACATTTTCACACAACCTATTTTGGACAGCTGTGAAGACATTTTAGCAGATTTGTTTAAACAAATTATCTTTTTTCCTTGGTTAATGCAAACAACTTGTTCAATGTTCTTAAAATTAAGGAGATCAATAAATAAAATTTATGAAAAAAAAAATTTTGTCACCAAAATTTAAACATATATAATCCATTAATAAAATATATGTAGTTGTTGGAATAAGACAAATAATTTGTCCTATAATAACAACAACATGCCAATGAACTTGTACAATGTTCATTTATTTTATTAAAACCCATAAAAGACCACATGTTTTTTTTGAAATGGTCTTAATAATTTTTTTTAACGATCACATTTTATTGACACAAAAAAAATCATAACAATTATTTTCATTATTTTGTGTGTTAGGTAAAAATGAAATTATCCTGAAAATGAGAAAAATACTTAAATATTTTTTAATGGATATGTGAATGACTATAATACCATTACAATATTTAGTGTGTCTTCAATGTATGTAATAGGGAAGATCGAAAGAGCTATTATAATTTTACAAGTTTTCCAACTTTTTACTAGAAAACCGTTCCTGAAACCACAATATGTTCAGCCGAATTTAAGAAAACACAAAACAAAATGACTTTCTCTTTGTAAAGTTTTCACTCGAGAAATTTGGCCGTGTAAAAATGGCAAAACATCTAATTTTGGCATTTGCCATCTAATTTTGGCATTTTTACTAGTTTTCCCTTCCAGAATATTTTGTATGATTTTGAACTCTTACATTTTGACATTTTTCCCTTTTATTAGTTTTACTATGAAAAAATTTACTGAAACAGAAAAAAAACATTTGATAATCGGTATTTTGTATTAAAAAAAATAATAAACCAGTGAGCAAAGTAGTATAGTCGGACGATGTCGACCATATAATACCCTACACAACTACCACCAACTCTAATTTGCTGCAGGTTTATGTTTCGAGCCTAAGCGATAATTCCCGATATTTCCACCCTTTAATCTATTTCTTACCCTGACATATTTTCCGAATCATACTTTCCTGGAGTAAACATTTACGCCATACGATTAAAACTTGGTTATTTTACACACAAAAGTCTGGGTTCATTTGTCCCTAAATAAATAGCTGGTCAGATCATTAAGAGGCATTGGAAAAGCATACAAAAATTTTTCTTGGTCTATTCCGTCCTCAAAATATCATGCGATAATCTTTATCATTATAGGCGGTGACCTTGACCATAACCGGAATCTGATGCACAATTTCTTAGCGATCCGCACGATATGTTCGCCTTCTAGTGCTTATATTTATATATATAATTATCTTAGTATAACTCCCACATCCAACTTCTCGGGACTATGTCCTTCAAGAGTTAATATGTACTCCATACAATAAAAATTTTATCAGTTTTCACATAAAAGTCTCGGTCCATTTAACCCGCTAAATATTGACCGATCTTCGTCAAAACAGTCATGCTCATTTCATAGTCAGGTCCCTTTCTCTTTGCAAAATTTCGTGAGGCTAGGTTAATTATTGTGGCCTCTAGAGCGATCAGAAAAACATACAAAAATAACGTTTTTCTTTCATTTCATCCCCTAAATATTAACCGATCATTACCAAAAACAATAGGGCTCCTTTTTTACAAGAACCCATCCCATGTTTAGATCGACACAACTAGTCGATATATGAGGATCGGTATACTTAAAGGATGATCTAGGAGCAATATTTCGCGGCGTTACAATTTCTCGAGGCCACACAAAGCTATAATACCCCTACAATATAGATGTGTATATAAATTTCGGATTTTCGCATTCAACATACCTTAAGGTATTATTCTTAATTTATTTTTTTGGTTTGATTCGAAACTACACTAATTCAAGAATGTCCCTATAAAAATTCAAGTGAAAATCTCAACAACTCTTGAAGATATAGCCGATTTATTGTGTTAGCCTTAAGAATGGCGCTTCCAAATTTGGACATATTTTTTCTGTGAGTATATAGCTATTGTATGAACTACATCAATATCTTCCTTATTTTTCAACTTGAATTTGGGTCGAAAATATGCGATTTCCAGAAAAATTTTTTAAAAGTCCCCTTTTCTTAATATTATCATAGTTCCTACGAGAGCCAGACATATACTCTTTCTAAAACGTTGGAATTTTTGGCTTCCGATGTTCCAGTGAAGAGTTATCCTACCCTAAATACCCCAATCCTACACCTCCACAGTGATCCTAAATCACAATTTCATGATTTCAACTCTATCGCTTCATCCACAATTTAAATTGTAACAAATTTAGTACACATTAGTACAAATTTCTAAAACTTCCTTTATATTTCAATCTTATACCTTAACAGTGATCCTGACTCGAAATTTCATGATTCTAGCTCACCTAGAATAAAATTGTACCAAATTTAGTACCACTTAGTACCCATAAGTATTAATTTGTTAAACTGAATCTTGACCCTAATCCTACATCCCTACAATGATCCTAACTCCAAACTTCATTGTTCCAGCTCTATCGGTTCACCCAAATCCAAATTGTACCAATTATAGTACGATTTAGTACTTTTCGTACACATAAGTAAACAATTTCAAAAACTATGTACATATCCCAATCCTACACTCCGAGGGTAATGTTACTTTCAATTTTCAGGATTCCAGCTTGATTTGTACCAAATATAGTACCATATAGTACTTTTCGTAAACGCGCTTTCCAAACTCTCCTCATATCGACCCTACTTCTCAACCTTAATTTGCATTCCAAATTTCAAGTTTTTAGCTGCTCAATCCATTCACATGCTACGAAAATTTACCAAATTTAGTACATTTCAGTACTTTTCGGATGCTTATAGTTCGAATTTCCATCTATTCTACACTACATCAGTGATCCTCAATCCAAATTTCAGAGTTCTAGCTCTACTGGTTCGCCAAATACAAATGATACCCTATTTAGTACTTTTTAGTACTGTTCGTACCGTTCTAGTACGAATTTCCAAAATCCTAGCCTAATCTGTCACCTTTGGACCAAGAGTGACACTCACCTAAAATTTCAAGATTATAGCTTTCGTCTGGGCGTTGATGAATCGTTAAATCAGTCAGTCAGTCAATCAATTTACTTTTTTATTAGTATAGATTTTAGTACTCCACCGTCATTAGACTTCGTCCTACATTGATGACACTTTTTTGAATATCTTATTTGTTGTTTATAATTTTATATATCATAGCGTGACCAAGTCGCACATCACTATTCTCTTCCTCAAGCAAATCTTAAGTGTGACCACAGTATACATGATGCATGACCTTCTCATGGTATTCCACGCTATGCCAACAAAAGTAATTAATTTCAATGCATTTCAGGCTTAACGATCTGTATTTTGAAATGAAAAAAAAAATCTTCAAATTCGGAGATTATTTTGTATTTACCTATCACGTCATACAAATAAATACATACCTATATATACATATATATGACAAAAATAACTGAACTAATTTCATTGAGGCTTATAAGGAAAAAAATATTTAAAATAAAATATTTAATAATAATAAAATTAATAATAATTATTAATACAATATAAGTCCACTAACATTAGTTTACATTTACCATCATAGATCATACGACGTATGATTAATATTATCTACTGAAATAAAATAAATCATACGCTTATGTGGCCCTTACAAATCACATATAGCTAACCATTGTTAAATCCCTCTTTAACATCTCTCTCCTCCCTCTCTTTTGCAGGAAAAAGGTTCCTTTATATCGGCTGTCTATTGTCGTGACACCAATTGCCCCGGTTTGGCAGTGCCCGAAACTACCGGTTTACCACAACCCAATTGGAATTGTTTGGAATGTAAACAGAAATCACCGCACGCTCCAATGTCAAAGGCTCAAGATTTGGCAGTGGGTGCCATCAATGCCAAAACCAATTCGAATTCACTGAAAACTCTCATTCAATATATCAAAGAGAAAAGTCCCAGTTTTATACCAGAAAGTAATTATGTAATTATCGATGCGAAATTGCAAGTCATTGCCCGGTTAAGTAAGAGTCTAGAGGATTGTGGTGAAGAATCAGCTGGCACGAAGGCGGAATTTTGTCAAGATATTTTGAACATTATGGATAAATTGGGTTTGGGTGATTGTGTGATGCGCACATATTTAGAGACGGAAAAGGCCAAGTGAGGTGGCCTGGGGAGATGCAAAAGTGAATTGATTTCAATATGGAATTCTAATGATGGATGGTATTAATGGAGTCATCATTTGGACGAAAAAGAAATATTTATTGTTTTCTTATGATGATGATGTTTATGAAAATAAGAAATAAAAAAAAAATAAAACAGATGAAAAATATTATACAATGTGTTTTAATAAGATTCTAATTTTATATGTAAGCAACATAAATACACACACATACATGCACTATTTGTTGTTAATTTATACTAAAAAATTATAAAAATACTATGAATTACATTAAAAAATTACATTAAATAAAAATTATATTCTGGAAAATTAAATTTTAATTTTTTTATTTATTTTTTATAAACATTTTTATAGAGCGTATGCAGTCTGATTGTAAGAAGACATTATGACCTTACTTAATCACATGACTAATGAGATTATATATAATTTGATACGATAAAAATATGTATAGAGCTTTAGAGCCTTGCACCAAGCCCTTATTTGTCAAATTCTAGACAAATTCCCAAAACAGCTCTGTAAGCTTCAAGTTTTAAATTAGGGCCGCATTTTCGTACTTCCGTCACGATTTGATAAAAAAACAAATAATATAAAGTGACTCTGTTTTATAAAAACTGCACATTTTTAAGGTAGTCTTTCAGGTACTTCTCCAATTTTTTTTTTTAAAAATGTTCAACTTCTAAATTTCCCTGTAAAGATAGATTGGACACAAAAATCGGATTTATTATCTGGAAATATTATTCCAAAAAAACATAAGGATTTAGGATTGAAGGAGGATATGTCTTCCAAAAATATTCCTCATTCGATTTGACAGAAGTCAGGTCATCTCAAAAATAATGTTCTTCTGCTGTTATATATGCTGTATAGTTTTACAGTTTAAAATATAGATGTTATTATCGTAACCGTTGGACCCCTCACTGTTGAAGTTGTGAAGTCGTTTGAATATTCCTCAACTGTCTATCATTTACATTTGAAAAGAACAAGGTCTGGCAGAGAAGGACAGAAAGGTCTCTTCATAACTACGAAGGGGGTCAATTTTGCTGAATGCGTATTCTCAATCAACAAGTAATAAGGTGGTAAAGATCGACCTGGTCGACATTTTTATATCCTCCACCGTATAGTGTACAATCTGTATTTCTTTAAAAATTCGAGACAATGTCATCAAAATTGTCTGCTAGAAGGATATTCTAATAATAAAGAAGATTAAATACCCAAGTTGGAAAAGTAGGTTAGGAACTTTAACATAGAAAAAATTAAGCGGATCATATGTATGTATTTAAAAAATTTACCTATATTCATAAATTTCTTGGGAGAAGAATTTTCTTTATCAAGGACCTGGAATACCAAATTACAAAAAGTTTGTGTGAAAAATGCGACAGAACCCTCAAAATGTCACAAAGATTTGGCAGAACCCTTGTAAAGATATGGATCGATTTTCTGTGCAGCATCCAAACCCCCGAACTGCCAAATTGAAACCTTTTCGGTTGTAAAATGTGGCTACATGCCTTAAAATGCGAATACGAGACGGAATCTTTATATGAGCGCTATGACAAAATACGGTCTAATATAGACCAAATATATGACAGCCTCCCAAAACCAAATTTGCTATACCAAACACCCTAGGAGTAATAGCAGTGCAAAATATCAAAAATTTCTATCCTACATATTAAGGGTGTGAATGGAAAAAAAACTGAAGGACATCACAAAAAAATAATAATAATTCCTAGAATTCTTCCAATTAAATCCAAAGGTGACTTCTTCTAAATTTCATCCTTCTCTAGAGTGCCCAACACGCCAATTACAGGCTCAAGTATATGTCCTTTTCAACTTAACCTAGCCTATCTTAAATATTACCGTCATATTTCATATTATTTCAGTCGGTTCTAATTTTTTACATTTCAGGTCCGAAAATATTTTCGAATAAGGTATGGGCCATTCTTCACGACATTTTGCATGTAGGATGGGTTGGGCCAATGAAGCCCTCCATTTTTTTTGGTAAGGATTGGTTAATATTTAGGGAATGAAATGGAACAAATATTTAATTTTTGTCGGTTTTTCTGACCCGAACATTGCGAAATTGTACATGGAGGAGGGGATAGGGCCAAATAATTAGAATGCCTGTTTTAATAGAGATCAGTCATATTTATCGGGTCAAATGGGCCTTGATCTTTGTTTGAACCAGTAAGGAAAGTAGTAAAGTCGGACTGGGCCGACTATATGATATCCTTCACCACTTTGGGTATGTTGTACATATGCATCCTTACAATTGCATGTCAATTTTCCCTCGACGGAACATACTCATGTCTTTCTGCAACTTATGCTTAATTTAATTTCATTCGGGCAGATTTAGAGTCGTCTGCGTACCATGGGACAAATTTAGCAAAATTGATACACCCTATTCGGTACGCCGCACTGTCAAAAATTTAATATCAATCAGACACCCGTTCGAAATAGATATGGGAGCTATTGCTGCATTTGCACCAATTTCAACAAAAAGCAATAACGTCATTTAATTTTCAATTTGATACGTTATGCAAAATTTCGTGTTATCGGACAAACATTATCTAAAATTGCACCATTTATGTAAAATTGGGCGAATATATGTGGGAGGTATATCGAAATCTGAACCGATTTTTTTCCAAACTTACCACCCATTGTTCTAGACTTAATTCAGTATGTTATGCCAAATTTCGTGCAAATCGAAGGATATATAGGGACCTTGTTGCTTTATTTACGTAAAATCGGACGAAAATATATATGGGAGCTATATCTAAATCTGAACCGATTTTCACGAAATTTAACATACATCTTTCTTGGCATAATTCAGTACGCTGTGCCAAATTTCGTGCAAATCGAAAGATTTATAGGGACTTTGGTGCACTATTTACCTAAAATCGGGCAAAAATATATATATGGGAGCTATATCTAAATCTGAACCGATTTTCTCGAAACTTACCACCCATTGTTCTAGACTTAATTCAGTATGTTATGCCAAATTTCGTGCAAATCGAAGGATATATAGGGACCTTGTTGCTTTATTTACCTAAAATCGGACGAAAATATATATGGGAACTATATCTAAATATGAACCGATTTTCACGAAATTTAATACACATCGTTCTAGACTATTTTCAAAACGCTATATCAATTTTCGTGCAAATCGAAAGATATATGGGTGCTCTATTTACCTAAAATCGGACGAATATATATATGGGAGCTGTATCTAAATCTGGACCTGGACATCATTCTACACCTAATTCAGTACGTTTTGCCGAATTTTGTGCACATTGACGAATTTCGTGCAATAGGGACTTTGGTGCACTATTTACCTAAAATTGGTCGAATATATATATATATCTAAATCTGAACCGATTTTCCCAAATTCAATAGGGTTCGTCCTTGGGCCAAATAAGTGACCTGTGCCATATTTCTTCCATGTTTACAATTTAACATGGACAGACTTCACCACACCACAGTGTGACAGGGGTGACAAAATATATGTGGCGTATATATTTACTCTAGAAGGACATAGACCCGAGACGGAGACCTTTAAATTGATACTATTTATGTTGTCGTATGTGCTCGGATGTGGGAGTTACACTTAAATATTTACAGGTGCTTACGTATTCAGATATTGACCTCTATTACAAAATATTGACCAGGCTTGGTCGTTGTGTGGGGTATCGTATGGTCGGCCCCGTCCGACTATACTGCTCCGCTTAAGGGTTGTTAATTGCATTGCTAGTTTGCCTCCAAATTCTTAGAAGATAGTCAAGTTTTTGAGTTACGGCGTAATGAATTTTTGCTGATATCTTAGGAGTTCATGAAAAAATATCACATGTCTCCTGTCATATCGTAATTTTCTGACTGATTTTTTGGTCTCAAGGACAAGGAATCTATATTCGTGTATTTTCACCGACCTTTTCCACTTTCACTCAGATAGTATTATATAGACGAACCTCGGAGCACGATAAACATAAGTTTCTCCAAACGTTGAATATCAATCAATATTTACACATTAAGGACCGCAAAGAAATCAGCCTGGGACCGCATGTTTTTGGACAAACTTGTGAAATAAGTGTGAAACATTTTTCTCTGTGAAAACACGAGAGACACGGAACGTGAAACACGAGAGAACTCGTGAGCGGTTCTTAATGTGTTAAACTAGTAAAAATGTGTCAGTCGATGTTGCCGACACATAAATACCCTTACGCTGTGCCATAGGTAATATACATTTATCCCGATTTTTACAAGATATTTTGCATTGCAGTGGCCTGAGGAATCACTGCCTAGTTTCGAAGGGGAATTGGTCCAAAGAAACATTAACAACAAAGCAAAGTATATATACCCTCTTTTGTATACGGTACAAGATATACAAAATTCTTAGAGGTACATCTTTCTGACCTACTATGTCCCAACTGTACATCCATTAGGCCATGTAATGTTGTTATCGCCTGCCTTCTTCAACTAAGTATATTCTCTGACTATATTTTCGAGTAAATCATTAATTAAAATAATTATTTTTCTTTTTTTGTAAAAATGGACTCCCGTTTTAACGTCATTCTCGTTTAACGTTCGAGTGCATGCCAGAAATATGCTGTGCGGCACACTTTTGTTGTTCGCTCTCTCGTTTGACACTTCGTTGTCTTTTCAACGGAACCGAAAAATTAGTTTTTGACTAATTGGAGCAGACAATCTGCCGAGATAATAATTCAAATTGTCACGATTTAAAAGTGAAAATTTCATTTCATTTAAAAAATAAAATAATACATATTTAGCATTTGGCTGCGTGACAATTGCAGCACTGCTAAATGGCGTTCTATTCTAAAGTGGCAAATTAGTGAGGCATAGATTATGGGGCATTCTTTTTCAAACATTTCTAATTCGTTGCACATAAACATTTGCAAGAGCTAATGGACCATTCAAATATTTTACTTGATTAATAATGTAATTCCCTTTATGATTATGGCATTTTTTCCTTGAAA